AAAAACGTTTTTAAAAAATATTCCGATTTGCTGTCAGAGTCGGTTATTTACTATAGAGGTTGGAAAGAGGACGGCGCGGTCGATCAGCGGGCGTTGTGGACGTGGGTGGTCAAGTGCTTGGAGAGGTAGTCGGCGCGCGCGAAACACTTACCGCAGGCCTCGCAGTGGTACGGTCGCTCCCCGGTGTGAATACGCAGGTGGCGCGTCAGGTCGCTCTTGCCTCCGAACGCCCTCCCGCAGAATAAGCACACGAATGGACGCTCGCCTGTATGTTTCCGAACGTGCAACTTCAAATTCTCTTTCGACCTCACGCATTTCCCACAGAATGGGCACGCGAAGCGCCGCTCGCGGTCCCGCTGTCTATCATCGGTCGGCATGAACCCGAGAATACCCGAATGCGAGCTCGAACTTTCATGCTTGCTGCTGTCGCCACGTGACTCGCTCTCCGAACTGTCCGCCATCGAGCTGACGCTGGCGAACGACACGGGCACACGTCTTCTCTCCTCCGAGGTGGTGTCATCATCTTTTTTACTGTCATTCTCAGAGTTCCTATTGTCACCAGAATCATCCACGGTCATTATGGAATCGGTGGGACCGTTAGAATCCACTGTACTATCTTGTTCCGCGTCTCGGATGACCTCAATGGGAGGAGTTCTAGTTTCTTCAGCCCTGGTCTTCTTTTTCATGGACAGATCCATCTCCCCACATTGGCCGATAAGAGCCTCATTAGTGCTGGACACTGGTTCCAAGCTTTCAGGGGTGTCGGTATTTTTCGTGTGGAGTCTCTCTAGGGTATGGTTGAGCCTGTGTTTCTTGAACGACTTGAGATATCTGAATTGCATGCCGCAAACGTCGCACGTGAACAGCTTATCGGCTGGAAGTCGGGCGCGATGATTTTGTTCACGATGTTTGACGTAAGCGGATCTGTATCGGTAACTTTGCCCACATTGTTCACAGACGAACGGTTTGTCGTCGCAGGAAGCTTGCGACGAGTGCTGTAGCGCGGCGTGGCGCTCAAGTAGCCAGGCGGAGGGGAATGTCGCGAGACATACGCCGCAGCGCCTCCTGTCTGAGTGGAGCAGATGGCGGTTCTGGTACGTCATGCAATCGTCGCTGAGGTAGCGGCGCAGGCGGCACGCTTGTAGCGCCAGTAAAGGAGACCACAGAGGCAGCGCTGTCGGGCTACGAGGAGGAATGGGGCTTGGAATGCTTGGCGAGCTGCAGGTCATATCCAAACACATCTGAAATAAAAAAATACGTTATAAAATATTTATACTTAGAGCAGATTTTAAAGATAAACAAAAGAACATCATAATTACCTGATTTAATGGGAAACAGGGTGAGCAGAAATAATAAATGCATTATGTTGTAATGATTGTAGAGCTTTTATTTGTCAAAATTGTATTTTTACAGCTATGATATGCTTATATTTGTTTCAAAGTTACAATGATCAACAGCGATGGGTCTCTGTTAAGACTGTTGCACAATTGACAAAACATTACACCATTTTGATCCTCGACCATTTTGATATAATTTGAAGGTACTGTATCTATTTCTCAACAAAAATGTACTGCTCTTTGTTACAACATTATGAACTATTAATTTATGTTAAGGCAAAACAGATTATCTAATCTAAAATGTCAACAATGAATGTTAAATAATCAGCTTAAGGGAAAATAATTATTGTTTCCTCGATGAAGAACCAACAATTACCAAGCTTTATAAATAAAGTGGACCTACGTTATTTGAACTTGTGCTGAACTAAATTTATAGTAGCATAATATACAACATACGAACATTTTCATTAAGAGCGTTTACGCCGTTTGGCGCAAAAACAGTACTTTTTCAACTCGTTACAATCATTAACCAGTAATATTACAAATATGTTATAGGCATAAATAGTTAGGCAATTTCGTCATCTAAATAGTTAATTGAGAAAATATTGCGATTAGTTTAGTATTTAAGAATTATATCAAGATAAGTCCACACAGGTTTTGTAAATTTCCACTTTAGCGTCAGTTTACAAGCTGAAATTTTTATAAAAATACTGTGAAAACGATTTAACAAACATTTATATCCTATAGCATAGATCCTTGGGCAAATAGTTATCTGAGAAAATTTTTAGATTTAAGCATTTTACAATAAGAAATCACAAATTAAAAGAACGTGAAATACCCAAAAATCAAAGTGATTTTTTCACCAATATTCTTCCTTTATTCAACACAAAAATAGCTTAATATGGCCATTCTTCCACCGTATAGGCCGAGAGCCTGTAGATGGTTGTCAGTTAACACTGCGGTCTTGGCACGTGAGTCACCGCAGCAGACTGACACGCTCCAACAGTGCCCAGCCTAAGCGAACGAGCGGCGGTTGGAAATGGAAATGAACACACACTTTTTTTAATGCTTTTAACACACACATTATGTATAGTTGCTATTGAAATTCAATTCAATATCGAAATAAAGTTAGTTAGTCAAGAAACGCACTAGGTGACACCACTGGTATTTTGTTATACAGGTTAGTAATAATTTCAACAGTTGCAACATAACAAAAGTGACAAAACAACAGTAGATAAAGATGACTAGCGTTTCAAATAGTTCCCTGCGTTAGAGTGATGTGTGCCGCAGCGATGCAAAAAGCAAAGGGCTCAGTATAAACACTACCCTCAAAAGGGCAGAACACTGATTTTCAGCTTTTGCTAGAGAACGCATGAAGCGTACAGGTACGGAATGAACCCGCTCGCTTTCGGAAACAATATCTACATTAGTATAAAATATATTCTTACTAGCTTTCCGCCCGCGGCTTCGCCCGCGTGGAATTTTGTCTGTCACAGAAAAACTTTATCGCGCGCGTCCCTGTTTCAAAAACCGGGATAAAAACTATCCTATGTTCTTTCCCGGGACTCAAACTATCTATATGCCAAATTTCATCAAAATCGGTTGCGAGGTTTAAGCGGGAAAGCGTAACAGACAGACAGACAGACAGACAGACAGACAGACAGACAGACAGACAGACAGACAGAGTTACTTTCGCATTTATAATATTAGTTGGGATGAGACAAATAATCTTATGGTATAGTGGAAAGGGGGAGCGAGAGGCCTCAGCCGACACTCCGGTTATCCGCCGCCGACACCCTGGGCGCAAGAGAACAGCTTATGGTCTCCAACTATCCCTTCCTAACAGGCCTCGGTCGCTAGACATGGAGGTGTCTGGTGGCGGCTAAGGACGAATGCAGGCAACAGCCAATGGCGATGTCCCGCGTTCCCTCACATCACTCATATGGATCATGGCAGAAACAGTCAGGTTTTTAGTGGATGTATGGGCTACCCACCTTCTGGTAGGAAGAACCCCACATAACCCACTAGCTGCCCCCGCAGCTGGTGGGTATGTAATGTTATGCATTTTCCGGATAAAAAAAGAATAGTTAACAGGAAAAATTTGTTTTGAATAGAACCGATTTGAAAAAATCTCTCACCATTAAAATTCAAATTTTTTTCTGCTGAACATAGGCTGTATAAAATATTCTCAAAATAGTAAAAAACCTTTGATAATTTACTGTTTGATAAAGAATTTACGTATTTATTATTTATAAGGACTAATGTATACCTACCATGATTTATAATTATGGAGTCGGTGTTGGAAGATTTGAAGATTTTATAGTTTCCTTGAGCTGTCACTTGACTGCCTGGCACACTTTTACGATGGTGGATCAAAGGATTTTGGTTTGACTATAGAGCTTGAGAACACGCACACAGTCACAATTATTTTAGTGTGAATAAAAATAGCATCGAAATTACCTAAACTTGACATGCCACGCTAGACGTAAACGCTCTTAAGAGGTCTTTAAAACTAAACTGAACATACATACTTAGTTGTTTGTCCGTCGAACATAAAGAGTTAAAGTAATTAATACTCTACGTTACAACATGTATATTACGCTAATACAAACAGTAAGTCACGAAAGATTATAACCTAAATAATTTATAATAAACACATTATAATTATTAAAACAATTGTACCAATATACAATAATTAATACACCTACAGGAACTTAGAAAAATTGCAATATAAGTTCTATATTTAGGTATGCCACTTAAAAATTGGTAAGTTTATACACAACTAACCAGTTTACACTTCCGCGACCTACGTCTTACTCGATCTTGTTGGACGAAACTTAACGATGCTATAACTAACACTATATAAAATAAATCTATTGAAATATTGGTCACGAAAATAACTTTGCACTGGGTGTTCATTGTATTGGAAATATCATCACAAGATTGGAATGCGCTAGCTACGGAGTCCTACACACGTAAGAGGTATTGTCCAGGGCTGCTAACACAATCGGAAGGGAAAACATACTGCGCAAGTCACATATCATAACGCAACTTACAATTTTCACCATAAAATTACACAATTTCTCTATTAGCTACATATACTAATATGTATGTTCCGTGATTTGCAGCCTTTATATAAGTCTTGTATAGGCAAGAGGCACTCTAAATATAAAACTGTGGTCACAATTTATTAATATAAAAATGTTTCTACGTTGAACTATTTCAAAACATGAAATATTTCGTGCTAGTGTTGTTAAAAGTTATCATGCTCTGTATTTACTCAACCAAAAATGTCTACATAAATTTGAAATATTTGTAATATAAGTTATAATAATTTGTGCTAACGGCGTGTGAACTTGCAGGGACGTGGCAACAACTGGCAAATGTTAAGATTTGAATAACTGCACTTGGGTCGTATAACCTATTGCTCATGTATGGTACAATTCACTAACAACATTCACCGCATTGCCTATATACACACATCAATACATAGAAATATAATTCTATTAATATTATTATTATTTGTTTAATAAATAGTACCTCTGAAAGTTAGGAAACAAAATAGTATTTTAAACTGCATTCTGTACTATTATAAAAAACTATCTCGATAAAAACTCGTACAAATTTGTTAATTCGTATCATCATTAACCATTTATTTATTGCTATTAATTACTTCTGTAAATTGTAAATATTCAATCTTTCTTAAAATAAGAAGAGGAACATTAATCAAGGTTTCAATATTGCTATAAAGTTTGGTAACGTTCGACTCCGAAAAATAAAAAGAGTGCAGCTTTTCAAATAGCAACATTCTTGTGACATTCATTATTAATCTCAAGAATCCAAATCTAGCTCCGGGAAGTAGCGCATCTACCAATCTATACTCTAAAATGCATTTTTACACGTGCGGGCTTAACAATAGACCAACTTTAATTTTACTATCCCGCAATAATTTTGTTAAAGATTTACTATATTTTACACAGAAATATAAGAAATAATTTCTATTCAAACAACAGATCAATCTCGTTATGGATGTTCAAATTTACTCACAATATCGGCCGACAAAACGAGCTGTGTAAATTTAAATATCCATCATAACAAATGGAATGTTTAGTGTTGCTAGATTGTATGACCAGTATAAACCGCGCACTCTCTACAAAATCATAAACGAATTCAGAAATATTTGAAAAGAAACGTATATTTTGTTTAGAAGAATTTCTTAGAGACACTACCATATCATTATTTTAAATTTCTAATACCTCAACATTCCATCGAAATCAAGAGACTCAATGTTTGAAGTGCTGCGGTACCCCGGCGGACATGCGTTAAAATTGGAAACTATGATAAGGTTATAATATAGCACCTACACAAAATCGGTGGAACCCGAACGTTTATAATTTCAAATGACGCTGGAATCACTTTGGAATGTTAGGCGTTTGCAATTCTAAAAAAATATAAGTACGATTAAATAGGCATTATTAAAACTCCATTGAACTCAATTTAAACACGATATGATATACCTACATCTTACATTCTATATGATGTCCAAAACTTAAAAAATAGAAATGAGATCTGTTAATATCAAAATATTATATCCTCTGTTCCTGGTTAGTGTATCGAATCCATGACTACATGTTATTTCATGACGCGTCAACAATAAAGGAGTCGTACGAAACAGATAAACTAAAATTTTAACTGCACTTTGAGATCAAAATTTTTAACTCCCAGGTGTCTTGCCTTACTTTTATTATCACAGATCTTTACCTATATTATAACCATAATACTCTCATTTGATAAAATCCAAATAATCAAACTACATCTCTAATAGGTATTTAATATTCGTTAAAACGCCTAAATTCAAATCGAAACCGTAATTTAATATAGATGTAAAGTAATTTTCTCATATCCTAACAATTTGTAACAAACTCCTTTAAAACAAGAATGTATAACAATAAGTTTTCGTAAGATATGATATGTACTAAAAGATTATGAAATGTTTTGACATTATATCGACTAGGTTAATAATTTAGATTCAAAATAATGCGCTAGAGTCACTTACTTAATGATACGTGTACGATGGTCATGTCAACGAGGGTACCGTCGGCAGATCAACACTATTTATCAATTTACCAAGAAACTTACGTACTAAAGTGAGCCAACATCCAATCAGTTCCAAATCAAAGCTTTAGATTCATTTCTCGTGTGATGCAGTAACAATATTATATCTGGAAAATATATTTGGAGACAAATATGCAGATATCATTGTATGGATAAATAAATACAATATCGAATTAAAACAGAAAGTGTAAATACTATTCTATTAGAGGCTGTGAAAACAAAATTATTTGTGATCCATAAAGTATCCCTGTATTTGACTCTGTTGAATTTATTGAACACAGTAGTTCTGATAAGATTCAAATGCTCTGTGTATAAAATTAATTGGATAATATGAAATATACAGTTAATTCACTTTTTATTTGTTTCAATGTGCTCCAACTACACTTTATAAAAACACAGCATTTGAAATACTCTCAATTATGGTAAAACAATGTCGTAATGTAGTATGAAAATATATGGAGAAATTTATATACATAAATATTTATTATAAATGTTGTGAGACCATGCCTCTTGCGTCCTAGGGCGTCAAGAAGATAGCTGCATGTATTGAAGATACACTCAGTAGCAAAAAACTTGGGTATTTCATCACAAAAATCTTATATCGCGGCAATTTAGAATTCTACGTTCAAAAAATTGCATGATTATCTAATTCATGACGTTATTAAGTACCTTAACAATCTCACACAAATAACATAAATGTGTAGCTACCTTATCCCGAAATTGAAGCTCTAAAAACGTGTTTTGTATGTTACCCAAATTCCCTGCCTTTTAGTGTATTCCGGGGACTCCCCGTGAATAGAAAAGCGGAGCAAGAGGCATGGTGGTCGGACAGAACAGAAACAGCGTTAAAGCTTTGATTCCCTTAATCACACATCCACGACCCTCCCCATGTATCCCGAATACAGAACTACCGAAGCATTTTACATCCTAATAAATTTCCTAAAAATCCGATATTACCAAACTATATGTTATTTACATTTTATATGTCATAATATTGCTTTTGGATTACCTCAGGGGAGCGTGCGTCGTAACTTCGAAAGACATAAAATTAGTAAAAATCTCAAATCCCTAACTTTTTATTCATTAAGAACTATATTGAGTGCATTCTGTAATGGTCTCTAATAATAATAATTAAAGCACTCATTATCAATCTTTAATTTGGTTTTATAAAAAATCAACTCTGAGATGAACCTACTTTAATAAATATGCAAGTCTCTAAAGATTAAGTTCTGACTTAAATCAATACGTTTTACAATTTCTTTGAATAGCGTCAACAAGCTTTGAAATGGCAACCAAATACCTACAAAAGCTCATACTAACGAGAAGTACATAAAACTTTATCAAGTACATTAATAGTAATAGGTACACAATAAAACAAGCAAACTAAGGGAACGCGACACCAGACCGGTGATAACTTAAGTTGGAAATAAAAATAACAAATGAAGTTTAACTTCTCTAGCTAACTTTGGCTATGCCGTCTTCTAAAGGACTCACGAATGAGTTTTATTTTATTATCTAAAGCGTAAAGAAAGCACCTAATTCTCAAGACTTTCATCAAATAAGCAAATAATAGAAGTAACCGAATAGTTCGTTTAGAAGTTAACCAAGGAGTAACAACTTTTAAGTGTCAATTATCTATTAGTGAAATATCAAATATTATTCATATCATTCAGATCACAGTTGCGGCGTTTAAATCACATTCTTAACTAATTACAACATATTGTCCTCCTTTTGTTCATTCGACTATCACTTCCCGCTCAAACCATTGACTACTACCAATAGGGGCTTGTGCTATTGGCTAAGATATCCTGGGCTAGTTGTATGGTGCAGGCTTCCCATACTCATTGATGGGGGCTCTCTTCTTCTGTGTCTACAGGACTGGGGGAAAGAAATTTGCGGGCGTACTTTGGATAGTGCGTCTTTTCGTGCGCTTTTAAAATGGTCGATCGGGAAAACGTCTTGCCACACAGCACACACCGAAAGGGCCGTTCACCTGCAAAATACATTTCGGAATTATTGAATCTGTTTTATTTCATAAAATATAATTATAAATAAATGACTCGGATGATATGTAACTGATTTATTAACGAATGCCATTACACTCACCTGTATGAACTCTACAGTGATCCTTCATATGGTGCCTCAGTTTGAATGCTTTCCCGCAGAATTCACATTTAAATGGCCTGTCTCCGGTGTGCACTGGTAAGTGTGCTATTAACGAAGAAACATCGGGAAAACTCTTGCCACAGAACTTGCACAGCACTACGTTCCCGGGCTCCACGGGGCCTATGTCCAAGTCTATGGGTGACTCCTCCGCGGGCATGATGTAGGTTGGTTCACTGAACTGGCCTATCATGGGCAGCCCCATGGGCCTCCCCAGTATGGCGTCGCGATACTTGAGAGTGTCCAGCGTGTGGGTGGTCAGAATGTGGCGCGCTAGTTTGCTCTGGTGCGGGAAGACCGCGCCGCAGTGTATGCACGGGTAACCCCTCTCCCCTTCCTCAATCCTCCCCCTACCGGTCCCTTCGTACTCCTGCAACCACAAAAAAGAACATCAACTTCTTTTCTCTCTGTTCTATTTTGACACGGACCATAATGTGTGCAATATCTCTACCACTACTTTCTAAATTGAGATGCAGTCTCGTTATTATTTAAATTTCCACTATCTAATTAAGAAGTTGACGCTCATTTTTGCCCAAAAATGTGCAGGAGTGACCCGGGAGCCGTAATGCCTTGTTGTTTAACGACGGTCACGCGTACGGAAATTGTACAATAACATATGCATGTATATGGCCAAAGTTAAAAAATAAAATAATAACTGCCCAAAATATATATCAAACAAAATGAATGGATATAAAAATGATGGCCAACAAAATGAAGGTCAACTTCTTGACAGCAAGGCATAGTACTTCGATGTTCAAAATAGCGCAGCATATCAAACAAGCATGCATAGTAACAAATCAACGTCCACATAAAACACCAATAATAAATACTGCTCATGAAACATGCCTTCCACACTGAACATAGGACAATAACATCTATGTATCTGCCATCAAATTAATGTCAGAATGTGACTATTTTTTGTTGTATTATGGCCTCAACAAAAGTCAGCCCATAAAACAATTCTGCACTAAAACTTAATGTAAATAATTTAAACTCTTTTTTTCCATTTTCTCAACATCTTTCATTCATTACTGATATACAAGGCAGGTTATTAATAAAGATTGATTAAAATCGTTCCAAAACCAATAATATCCTTTCATAGTGTGTTCAAATAGATATTTTAAGAATAGCTCAAATTATACACACATATGCATAACCAGAAATCCCAATATATTGAAGAATTTTAGATAAAACTCCTATTTAGTTTTTGTAGTATTTTGAAAACACAATCATGCATAATATTTTTGTAAATGGAGCTGATTATGTAGACTGGGGTTTAAACTGCACATTTAAAACTAAGTATATTACAAGCATGCACAAGATACTGTATTAATGCCAAAACAGTAATTTATGACATTCAATACAAATTAAGTAATCGCAATATGACACTCAGAAGATAGCTTTAAACTTTTGATAAAACTTAGTTTCATAAAATTTATGTTTTCAATCTTATTGGTAACTAATACAACGCATTAAAGGTCATCTAATCGGGTACAATCGGAATAAATGAATTTATTTCACAGTTGGCATAAAAACTCATCTTGGTTGCTTAGTTTTACTTTAGCTGGAGGGGAATATTAGCAATTTGTATACTACAAATTACAAAGTTTAGGTAATGATAAAATTTGAACAATAATAATTTCAGAACCTTACATGCAGAGGTTGTGACCAGGTTTGAATAGATGCGTTTTTTCAACAAGCAAGCATTTTATTGCGATTACTTAAAATTAATATTCACAAGTCTACAACATCCATACATTTATTACACATTGAGAACATAACAATTGATACATACCGATTCATGTTGTATCCTGTAATCTGATGATGGTTCTCCACCACCTTTGTCTTCATTACTTCTGTCCCAGTCTATTTCTTTTTTCAAAGACTGTAATAAAAATTTGAGGTTTTACAAATCAAAAGATAGTTTCTAGTACACATTTTCGATAACTTAAATAAAAAAAAGTAGTTCACTGCCCCATATCCTGCCAGTGGGAAGAGAGACACATTTAAAAACTTTAAATTACATTCGCTTTTCAAGTTTTAAGAGAACATCAAGCCCACACAATAATATTTGAAAAATATTTTCTTAAGCCTTGTAGATGATTTTTTTTACAGTAAGGGCCTTGCCACACTGGCGGATTGCAAGCGTTTTCTGGGCGGAGCGACGGCGCGGCGCGGTACCTTGCGTGTCCACGGTGGAGACGCTCGGCTTACAATCTGTGGCAACTGGCAAGGCTCTAATAACTCATATTTAAACAGAAGATTAAGGCAATGAGGGCTATCGTTTTAGCGCTCACCAGTTAGCGCCACTGTAGAGTAAGGTCCTGCCACTTGCTAGTAGCGAAGACAGTGGCACCAACTGGTGAGCGCGAAAGTGGAAGGACTATCGTATTTGCACTCATCAAGATGGCGCCACGGTAAGGTCCTGTCAATCACCAGGGGTGCCAACAGTGTACCTACCATGAGTTTACGTTAGGTGTGCTCCTAGCGAGTACGTCAAAAATCTCTATGAAGATTTTGTTTCTTGAAAGTAGCCGCTAGGGGCGCTGCACAATATGTCATACAATTAATGTCATTTTTTTTACACAGTCGCTAGCGAGCACATCTAATGTAAACTCATGGTAAGCACACTGTTAAGTATAAAAACGACAGCCCTCATTAACTTGAGTCTTCAAAAATCAAAAATTCTGCAAATAAGTTAACTACGTTCCATTCATACTAATATCATACACTTGCCACGACAGTGTGTATAATGTTTATTTACATTGATACTTACTAGAGGTACTTGTTGCACCGGAGGCAGGCCAGAAGGTCCAGCGATGGGCTCACTCCTGGGGCTCGACAGTGCAGGGTGCGGATGGGGAAGACCCGGGTGTGGCATAGCGTTCAACACGCTTAGCCGTTGCTCCACCGGAGAATACCGCGGGCCAAGAATACCACTACTGTGACTGTTTATGGTCATATTGATACCTGGAACAGTAAAGTTTAGTGTTAAATACATTTTTCTACAATAATAAAGAGGAAATATTAGAATGTTTGTATTGAAGAGGTTCCGAAACTACTGGACTGATTTGAAAAAATGATTCTCAGTAGAATCTTACATGATTTCTGATGAACATAGGTGGTACCAAGTTTGCTGTGCCAGCTAGTCTTTTAAATAGTATCAGTGGTCCCAGTGGCAAACTATGGGAAATTACAATAATCCGCTTCTGTGTGCCTAAGCAGTATTCTTTGACGTGTGGTGAAGAGTGGAATTCAGTGACAGTTGAATAGTGAGTAAATAAGTTTCCAAGTAGGTACAATAATATTCTTTCCTGACCGGAAATACTAGATTAATAGCAGTACTACCCTCTGATTGTAAACATTACATTTTGTTCGAGTTTTGAGACTAATCTGAATCTTAGGTTAGGTACCTACACAATATGAATTCAGTGAGTTAAGTTAGAGTTACGTACCTCTACGAATTAAGTGACACCTTGTATAGTTTTAAGATAGTTTACAGCTTGCAACGAAGTATAAATAGCGATATAAACCAACAGAAAACTTCTTGAACGACACATAACCAAAAAAGAGGCAATTAAGTTTGGTAAGTCCGTGTTTGATTTATTAATTTTAATCATTTTGACAACAGTGTATTTAATTTCCGTAATCACTTAGACACTTGATTGAATTAAATAATTATCACAAAACAAAATACAAACAAAACAAAAAATAAAATATTTTCGAACGTCTGATTGACAGATGTCAAAACTATAGTGATGTACGCACTTCACTTTTTGCATAACCAATTGAAAAGTAATTGAACATATCAATTACTTTTCTAAACAATATTAAAAAAAATTGTGTATTGTTTTAAAACGTCTTGCTGGGCCCTTCACCATTACTATATTAAAATATTATTGAAGAAATTCATCTATTTCAGCGTGAATTACAATATTCATCTTTTTTCACGCGTATTATTCAAATATCATAAGTGATTGATGGATTAGTAAAAATACTTTAATTTTGTTACTCTTTAAGTAAAAACTTTTTTATAAAATCATTCATCCAGTCGTTATGGAAACAGCCCGACATACTTTTAGGACGTTTTCTACATTTATTGATTTGATAGAGAAAAACCCACTCGTGGGGTGAAAACTCAGTCCTCTCGGAGTCTAAATAATATTAATTTTTATTTTCATTTACGGGCTTTGAGTAAATAACATATCGAGTTTAAATCACATGGACTTATAAAATACTCTCAAATAATAATTATGTGCAAAGAGTGGCAACCTGAGTATCACGTTAAGTTCTAAAAAGTATACTTAATATTTTTAAAAAAGTACTATACTTGTAAATTAGTCATAATAAGCCCTACAACGAACATTCAATCGATTATTAGATTATTCAAGTCAATTTTAGGGCAATTGAATTGTTTACGAAAAATTATGATGGCTCATCACTAATACTGACGAATTACAGCAATGAATTATCTGGCGGCAATTTTTAAAAAACTTTGCCAACTTGTAAGGTGTCAATAAAATGTAAGTAATTAATGAGAGCACTGACTGTTTTTTTTACTTTTGTGTAAACATTTTATAAGTAATACAATAATATAAACATTAAGTTAGTGTTATGCCCGTTTTCACCATCTATCCCTAATTTTTAAGTGACCCCTATGATAACAAATAACAGGAATTTTGTATACATAGGGGGTCACTTAAAAATTAGGGATTGATGGTGAAAACGGGCATTAGGGTCTTAACGAATGATGAGAGTACGCGGTATTCGTGCGTCGACGGTGGTGTCCAAAGGCGAGTGTCTGAGCCGAGCGCAGCCGATGATGACGTTGTCGGCCCGAGGTGACGTTAGTCATTGTACGCCGCCCGCACGTCTCCTCCCGCGCGTTGTTGGATTCCCAACATTAGTTTACCTAAGTTGATAATAATATATTATTTTCATAGGATTCCCGTCCCGCCATTATCTTTGCGCCTATTTCTACCTACTTACAGGGTATTTCCTAATCCTCACCTGCAAATACTTAGGTATTTAATCTAGAGCGATGTCGCGATATTGTGTTTTAATAATAATATTTTAGACATACCAATGGTATCACTTTGAGCGCCATTAGATCTTATTGACACTGCATCTTCCTCCGGGGACGACGACCGCATCGGCTCGTCGGGTGGCTCGTCCTTAGGTAAGGGAGGATGCGTAGTTGTAGGTGTCTCATTTGAAGTTTCTGTTCTAAACCGCCGCACGGAGAGTAACGGGGATATTCGAGGGGGAGAAGCTTCGGGGACCTCCCTGGGGTCACGTGACTCTCGGGTGTCCCGCAAATCCCTCGCATCCCTCAAGTCTCGGGGCTCACGAAGGTCTCTAGGTTCACGAGATTCCCTGTGATCTCTTATGTCTCGGGATTCTCTTGCTTCTCTGATGTCTCGCAATGTGGACTCTCGTAGGTCTAAGGAACTACGGTCTCTGGGTTCTCGCGAGTCTCTCGTCTCGCGGCTTTCGCGCGTATGACTTTCTCTTGCTTCGCGAACGTCTTTGCTTTCTCTGTCACGAGTCTCTCGCGGCTCTTTCACTTCCCGTCTTTCTTCCTTTATTTCTCTGGGTTCCCTATTTTCTAACCTCTCGTGCGGCTCTTGACACTCTCTGGTGTCTTGGGATTGGCACTCTTCCATTGGTTCTGGAACGTTTCTGGCGTCTATTCCTGCAGCACTTAGGGTTGTCATTTCGGCTAATCCTTTGACCTGAAATAAGAATACAAAACTAATAAGTACCTACCTACATAGCAGTAAGACATGCTTCTTTTAAGTTAACAATCAGTGTTTAAGTATAATGTTTAAATTATTAATTTGCCGACAGGTAAAGGTAAAGTTCAATTTAAAACTAGTCAAAGATTACTTTAGGGAATTTACTATACATACATATTTAAATTTATTTCAGATAGCAAATCAACTGAAAAGTGGTTTGGCAGACACGTATTAGGTAACGTATGAAGTTTAATGGGTAAATTTTTTCTTTAAGTTTGTTTTTTTAATATTTTTTATAAATCAATTTACCTGGAGGCTCTCAGCGGTTTTTAGTAGAGCTGGCAGTTGGCAGTACTGGACGTTGACTTCACCCTTGTACATGAAGTCGACGAGGGTGCGAAGTTCCTCCAAGCCTACGTCTTTGAGGATCACTATGGGGTGCCGTGAGGGGTGGTCCACGAACAGCGAACGGAAGTATGACGAACACGCGGATAAAACTACCTGGAAATGTTTAGAGGAGAGTATTAGTGATGTAAGTGTAAAAGATATTTCAATCTTTTTTTTAGTTATAACCAAAAACGCCTTGATGATAAAAAACTAATTATTTTAATCAAAACTACTAAGTATTACGTTTAAATTTTTAGGCTCATTAATACAAACTTGAGATATTTTATTAAATGTTTTTATCGTGAAAGTGAACGTTTCGTGTCGCTTCAATCAAAAGTGATGAAAAAAAATCCAGTAGTAAGTATTTAAGATAAAAACATCTTTTCAAGCAGTGTTAATTTGGCAGACTAAGGTATTCATTGCACATTGTACGCAATAAATTACAATAGCGTGGTCGCTGAATATTATAGTTTGTGCAAAGTACACACAGAAACATTGTAGCAAATGGTGTGTGTCGGATTTTCACTACACGTGCCGGTTATTGATGTAAATCGTTAAAGCTGAAGCAAACTTAACTACGATCTTATTTACTTTTATACGTTTCAAATAAATTACGCAAAGACTTCCAATTAATTTCGTTGCAAGCGTAGCAATGACTATTTTCTTCGACAAAATTGTAAGGTTTCTAATTAGGAAAGATTTTCTGCAAAAGTATTGAAGGTGATTGGAATTGATTGATTGGTTACATAATTAAATCGAATGAATCTTGTGTAGAGCTAAGGAAATTAAGTTCATTTGTTTTGTTATTTTTGTACATGAATATAAGAGTTCTTTTTGACTCAAAATCAAAAATCAAAATCAAAAATATTTATTCAGTTTAGACCACAAGTGGCACTTATGAACGTCAATAGAAAATAATAAAAAAAGAAAAAGGTAGCCCTTATGTTATTATCAATAAAATAAAAATAGTAAAGTTAATTGGGACTGACCTTGTGAGCCCTAATGGAGGCGCCTTCCGAGCAAGCGAGAGTGACGTCCACCAAACTTTCGTCGTGCAGCAACTGGCTGAAAACACCCAGCAGGTTGCTCTGATGATTGTTCCACCTTAGGCAATAGTGCTCACTTCCCATGTCTGAGCTAGCTCCCGCCGCTGTGAAAAAAAAAAGGCCTTATGTTAAAAAATATTAAATCTTTCAGAATATGTGCAGTGTCTTGACGTCATAAGTAATATTTTGGCTTACGAAATCGGACTCGTGTATGTACTTTTTTGTTGTTTGCTAGTTAAGTACTCATTTTTATGGAAATCGCTATTATTATCACAGTCATACCTAAATAGGTAAGTTTTTAGTAAGCTAAGTGTAGGAATTAAGTTTTAAGAAATATCGAATAGGAAATGAAACGATTTGGGGTTGGTTTATAACAGATTATAAATGTATGTTTTTGAGAACATTAAGTCATTGATAATTAGAATCAGCAAAACCATTATTATAAAAGATATCGGCACATCAAGCGTACTATTATTAGCTTCATAACTACTTACATAGAATAATAGTGGAACTGTGGAAGTCAAAATCAACTTACATACCTACATTGAATAGAAGTGTAAACTCGTTTGTTTAATAACACTTAGTAGCTAAATATTTTAGACTCATCCACTCCACCTGCACCTCTACATGATAAGCTTAATATTTAATTGGTACATAAATAGCACGCCATTTAAGAAGAGAAACACGCACGAGTCCACCTGTTCCTACTAAGTCGTACCATTTACTGTCTGATTTTTTATAATTATGACGCACGCACTTTATTTTCCAATTAAAACAGTAATAACATAAAATGATAAGTAATAACTTTACGATATAAGTCACTCTTAACTTCGTCTGCGACTTTGTACTTCACATTAAATTAATCTTAAAAACGCATTAAATTAATCTTAAAAACACATTAAATTAATCTTTAAAACTTTATTTGCTTTAATAGAATTATTCTACTTTACTTACATTTATTAAATGTATGAAAATATAAAGCTCTAGCTACCTACCTATTTTCCAACGTGTATTCGTTTTGTTAACAAAACTAAACTTTTTAACTTAAGTTACGTTCATTATTTTTATACGAGTAGTACCTATTCAATATCATTTGGCGTGGAAAGCTGAAAAAGTTGTTTTGTGTACACTGTTTTTTAAATTGAAATAGGCATAACAACTATTATAATAACCGCTACCAATCGATCAACATGGAAAGCATTGGGGGAGGCCTATGTTCAGCAGTGGACGTCCTGTGGCTGAAATGATGATGATGATGATGATGAACTATTATAATAAGTAATTGTATTTAACAAATTCTTAACTCTTCTAAAATAGGTTACATGCTTATGCTCTATTGCTTTGCATTGACTGCTTAACGGGTACCTAAATAATTTTTTTTCACTGTATTTCAGGCACGCCGTATTTTCCAATTCTATACATGTACTTTATAAATCAACGAATATTTGGAAGTTTAGGCCGTAATTACCTATAACAAAAATTCCTCTCAATTTCCCAATCGCCAGAATTCTATATTATTTTGTTCAAAAAACTGCTATGAAGTCGACACTGGTTTTCTAAAACAATTAAAAAATCACGAAGTAGGTATTCCGTCGACTAATGAGTAAGACCACAAAAAGGTGGCAAAACCATAAGCTGAGGCTTATTTTAAGATGAGCATTGTAGTAGCAGAACGAAACTTGTGATAGTGTGCTAATAAAATAGGTACACGTGTAGCATAATAACCTTACCTGCCACGTAACTAACTTAAAAAAAAAAGACAAAATAGACGCTAACATGGTTAATTACATAAACATTAAACAAAATGTATCCTAGACCTTAATTTTGTCTTAAAAAGTATTTATTAGCTATATGTAAAAATTCGCAATTTTTCAGGTCGCATGTCTAAGTTTTTTTTTACACTTTTGGTAACAAGGCACTAAATTACCGTTCGTATTGTTTTGTAAGATCATGAAAAAGTTAAATGGCATTTTTAAACGAAAACACAGTCGGCCTGTCGCATCATTATTGTAAACAACAAAAACGTTCCTACTGAACTTTTAAGCGACACTTTTTCAGTTAGGCTTTACACGTCATAATAATGTTTACATTTGGTACTTACTTTTAAATATGTCTAGACATTTCTCAGCTTGTCGGAGCAGAAATATTAGTTCAACGCAAGGAAATCACCAGCCGTATATAAATCAAAATTAAGGTCCACTATTTGCACTAATTACAGCCACTTTTGACGTAGAAGAAGAGTTTTTAATTTAAATAGCTAATTACGTTGTTTGAGAACCGGTATTCAAGAGATGTTATAAAAGGCATATTAATGATGTTTTGTTGTTTACAAATTGTGTCACGTCATAATTTCAGCGACATGATCAAAATTCGTTCACGAGAAGGTATTTATCTGATTCATCCAGTATTTATCCTATTGTGGTTGAATATTATCGCACATGTTTTACATAAGTTGACTAAGTAACTACAGGATAAAATTTTCAAACCACCCATTGTTATTGTGTGTTGAAATCGAAAAAGTGTTTTTCCGTTAATAATAACTTAAATCGTTAAAATTAAACTGTTGTCATAAGGCACTCATTTTACGCAGCCAACTGTTTTATAGTTACACATGTCAAAAATTCATAATGTTACGCACTCGAAGCGTTAATTGCGGCTTTTACATCGCGTTCAACAGCCGGAACTGTCAGATTCGCTAATGACTACAAAGTGGCGGTACGGTATTATTTTATATTGTCTGATTACCGTTCCGCGGCTCCACGCGCGGTGATAAATATAGTCGCGGGTATTGTACGAACATGGTTCTTTAAATGTGTGTGGTGCGCACACGCGTGCGGCCGCGACGCAGTCAAGATCAAGGGCGCGCGATTGCGCAAGAGTTGGCGGTCGTAGCGCTGCAACGTGTGATGTCATCGGGCGTCTGCGAGCCCCCCGCCCGCCGCCCCGCGCCACGCATCACACCCGCTTCATAAAGGCCGCGGGCGCGGACCGTTCTATTTTTAATTTTTGACCTTACCTATTGGCGTGCAGGATACAGCCTACCTGTTCCTTAACTTATGTAACCGGACGAATATGTTCAAATATCAGATAAGCTTTTGCGTAGAGTTGAGGAGCGTAGCGTAAAAAAATGCTAATTAACATTTTTGAAAAGACTCTACCAGTAACGGTAAACGCCTACGTATAATATGCATAACTCACAATTGGAATAAGCCACAGCACATTTTGGCCATCTATTAAATTGACATTGTAGTGACAGATACAGACAGGCAGATAAGTCGAGATAACCATAATTTAAAACGTAATGAATGGATGATTTTTATATGCCAAAAAAGTACCTGAATTTATTTGGTCATGCAATACATACCTAGGTATACATACTTATGAGTATATCCTACTCTAATCTCTCGCGGAATTTGGTGCGTAGTTGATAACACAAAAATTTTACTGAAATACGCACTGAATCAAAAGTAGGTGAACATTGCACTCGCACGGATCAATTTGTAAATGTATTGTTTGCGGTTCAGCGTCTTTTCTTAATGTCATTATGAATCACCAGACACAATCAGATATAACCTCTAATAGGTTATTATAGTAATGTTTACGGAAAAATAATTTTAAAAGGAGAAATTTTTGTGACATCTGTAATCATTATCTTTTTATGTAGAGTCAAGGAATAAACAACTATTTCTAGCATATTTTATAATAAATTGCAAACAATATTGAAGTGTTTAAACGATCAGACTGTTATCGAAGCAAAGGTGAACCGCAATCCGCCCAACAAATCATTTGCATGCAGTGTAGGGCGGGCGCTTAGTTGGACCTGGCGCCCTACAAACACAGTGACCGTAGGCCGTAGCTGGGGGGTGAACGATCGCGCGATTTTGCAATTTAAGGGCAGGTACAAACGTTTGGAAAGTAACTATAGACCGCAATTAGTTTAGTTAAAGCTAAATTAATAATCTGCTTTCAAATAAACGCAGTCGGGAAATAGTTTAAAAAACAGATATTATTTCTAATTGTGCTACTACAATTTGGTGTAATTATTAGACATACTCGAATCGCACTTTTCAGCAAATACGTTTTCGGCGTTTGCACGCACTCTTAAAATACAGATGAGTAAATAGTTTGAATATAATGAAATGTGACAAACATCACGTGCTAAGCCTAACCTTCGCAGCTTACTATTCAAATAAAAAACACAAATATTACTTTACTAGGGGGACTTTACTTATATTTATTATGTTTATCCTAAAAAAAGGTAAACCTATTAATTTGTTTAAGATGTTTATTTTAACGCAACTTACTCCGCCGGGGGAATAACCTACTCTACCATTAAATAATGTTTTTGACGGCTGGTGGCTTTGCGGACTACCAGCTGCGGTTGCGGGTTCTATTTAATAATAATAAAGTATTCTATCAAATTGTGGAATAATTTATTTATTTTGCATTTTTCGTTTTTTTTTTACCCAAAAATGTTTTTTGGTATATCTACTAAAAAATAAGACTGAATATTTTATATTTTAGAATCACAAATTGACAAAGTAGCGAAGAACATTTTGTACGGGCACATTTTCGCATAATTTTTTGTGCAGTCAACAGCATTTGGTTTTACTTTTTTGTTGTACTAAATCACTGGTGCCATTGTTTTTACCTTAATGCGCCGTACTTGTATCATACTAATGATTTAGCCTGTATATTTTAAAGGTACATACTAAGGTATCTGTAGATTTTTTTTCTTTTGGCTCTACATTTTCAAAGATTGTGAATCCTTACATTGTAAACTCATAATGTTATTAGTCACATACAATTTTAGTAGGTATTTTTACAATCAACGCCTACACTTTATCATGTTTTTACTTTATTTGCTTTAGAGTAAATTAATCATACGCATATATTGACAGCATTGACAAAAGAGCCCTGCATCTATCGTTAGTATTATGTATTTATACCTCAAAATCGCAATTATTAGACTTTCCTCACTAACAAACAATGTTATTATACTGATGCGTATCTCCGTTGGCAGTAAAACTTAGGTTGCACCATCTTACTTTAACAAACGTCAAAAATCTGTCAAACTCCATATTAAAAACTCCGGTTATCGTCA